CTCTCCAAATGGTAGGATTCCTACATTCATTGAGAAGAACAAATTGCTCAGTTAATTGGGGAAAACCGAACGAAAACCAGTTAATTATGGAGAACCGGGCGAAAATCATCAGAACCGCTGAGCGGCACACATAAGATACTCCAAGCACATCACTCCAAAGAGGGCCTTGTCGAGATAGCACACATGTGTCATCGTCATTACTCCTGCCCTAGAGGCGTCATGGTCATCCCTAAACCCTGAGCAATCGACTCCGACTTCGCCATAGGCGGTAGTCGACCCAACCCGCACTATAGAGGCCATGTGAAGATGAATGAAGATCCGCGCCAGAACTCAGTCCCCGCGACCAAACAACGCAACTCTGGCTCTAACAGAGAACCAAAAGGAGAACTAGGCACGGCTAGTGCTACAGAAGATCATCGAATGAACCACCTGCTGCCCGTCATTGTACACCACCGGGAGCCCGCCGCCGTAGCTTCGACTTCATAGCAACAAACCAGCTGAGGCAATCCTGTGAACACGCCAGAGAAGAGTCGACTACCTCAACCGTAGCCACGTCTCTGACATTGCTTTCCCCCATCATCGTTGCCACAGAAGCCTCGACGCCAACACTGTCGTCTTCCACTGGTCCCGCTAGCTAACACCTGGCTCTAAAGGCAAAACCCCTAGGAGGGAATACGACACCAATGCGTAGCCATCGTCCCATCAAACAAGATCAAGGATTATTTAACAAAAAACTACCACATTTCATGGAAACGTGTCGGAAAACTACCATTTTATGATTTTGTGCAGAAAACTACCACTTTTTTCCTAATCCGTGGCAAAAAACTACCAACTTGCGAAACCACCCGCTTTGCCCGAGCTAAGCACCGAACTGACCGGCTGGGCCAACGAATCAGGTGCCACCGTGGCCAACCGACGCCCGCCCCACGTTAACGACTGTTAACAACGCGTTTGCGGTCGGAAGCGGCTGTCGATGGTCCAATAAGTGGCCCACGGTGAGAGCGAGCTCAGCCACTCTCTTCCTCCTCGCTCGCTCACTCATCCTCATCCTCTCCCTCTCCCTCGTCCTCTGAGCATATCGCCATCGCCGTCGCTGGCATTGCCGCCGGTAGAACTTGAAGATGCCATCCTGGAATGACGAGGAGAGCTCGGACGAGGACATCTGCATGGTTTCAATGGATCCTCAGCTCTTTGTAAGTACGTAATGGTGGAACAGAGTTAGGGTTAGGTCATCCAAATTGGAGACTCCAAGTTTCTTTTGGTTTGATTCCAAGTTTCTTTTGTAGGAAACTCCCCAAAATGTGGTGGATCCATCTTTCTGTGGTTCTTTCACTGAATCTCAGCCGACGTGCATGATGCATCATCAGAGGCCGAAGAAGATGGTAGCTTTCGAAGGTGCTTTGACTGGGAGGCGATTCCTTGGTTTTCCTGTGCAGCAGGTATTAAATCTTGAACGCTTACTTGTTTTGCTGGTGGAGATGTGTGCTGCAGCAGGTATTAAGTTGTGCAGAGATGTGTGGTGTTTTGAACTCAAATTGACAAGTGCCTTACATATGGAAGCATATATGTGAAATTAGATGTTGAGTTAACTGAATTGAATAAACACTTGACTGAAACTGAGAACACTTGTTAACTGAATATATTAGCTGTTAACTGAATATATCTGTTAACTGAATATAACTGTTAACTGAATTTATCTCTGCTGCTAAATAAGGTGTTGTGTGCTTAGTTTTGAAAAAGTAGAGATTCTGTTAGCTGAATTCTGAGAGCATTGATCTAAACATAGGGTTTGACTTAACTGACTTGAGTTTACGACTTCAGTTATCTGTACTAAGTTTGTTAGTAAGGTGCTTAATTTTAAAGAATTGCTTTTGTAGGATGAAGGTGTCAACTGTGGGGTGGTGGAGTGGGTGGATGGTCCTTGGCTAGAGATTCTATAAAGGTGCCTAGCAAGGATTTGGGACATGTACCATGAGCAGAACTTGAGAAGGGTGAAGGACAAACAAGCTCATGAGAAAGAGGTGGACAAGCTAAAGAAGGAAATTGACTTTCTGTCAAACAACTACAGCCAGTTGGTGGAAGATGTATCCAAACTTTTTGACTATCGAGATGGCAAGATGTCTCTTAAATTAATTAAGTAGGACAATTATTATTTTTATTTTTCACCTTTATTTGTTAATACTTTTGGCTTGCATTATTTCATATGTGCAGGTAGTCGACCTCGGCTGCGTCACACGGTCACTTCGGAGTCATCCCACCGACCTGCTCCGTCACCCCGGCCAGACTGGGGGCTTCACCTCACCATAGTGGTCGTGCTGTGTCGCCACTTCGGAGTGCCGAGCTCTTCGCTCCACCACCTCGGGACCGGCTTGGGGTCCGGGAACTCGTCCCACAGTAAGCTCAGGCTGCACATTGACATAGAGCACATTAACCAGCTAAGTCGCTTCCATGCTCAGTTTTTTTTGAAAAATAATTCTTGTTCGGTTCGACCTAATTTTATATTTGTGTTAAACAAAGAACTTAGTTTGTTAAAATGTTATTTGTTAAAAGAAACTCCTTTTACCCATGTTAACTAGGGGCTCTTAAAATTTATATGAGCCATTTTATAGTAAATGTGTTTTCTTCTTGGTCGTTGCAAAGTCTTTTTCTACCACTCCTTTTTTGACTCGAGTGTATGGTCAATAGCCGGATAGCCTGGCTTCTCTCTAAAGCCGCTCGAGTTTAGTTCGCTAAACTGGCCTCGGAGAAGCATTCTGCCTTCGGGATAAGGAGGTTGAAGCCGATGCTGACCTACTTGCAGTTCAGAGATCGGATGTGTCATGTTAAAGCACGACAGGAGCACAAACTAATTTTAAGACCAATGTTCGGATTGGCACCAAAATCTTGATTTAGTACAGACATCAAACTTTTACATAAGTTTTTGGCCTTTCGAGCTTATGGCACTTTTTAGCTATTTGTATGTTTTTCTTTCAGGAAGCGGGACATCCTCATGACCGAGGTGCCCTGCATAATAATCTAGCTCGGGAGATCTTTTTTGACCCACAACTCGGCATCTTTCCCGCCGAACTACACCTCAGCGTTGATAAAACACACGCCACATCGGGACTAGTTCCCGAGCAGTGCAACCCCAGACGCCTTTAAAGCATTGGCAATATTAACGGGGGGCTGAGACTACAGCCGAACCCACAAAAACCAAAGAACCCCATAGAGTCCTCGGCAAAGCGTTCTCGGGCATTGCTTTATATGCATCGGTTTCGAATTGTGTCTTCG